GAAGTCAGGTATATTTCAGGTATGTTTCAGGTATCCCACCATATGTAATCAACTCATAAAAGGTTGGTTTTTAACCCTGTAATGCCAAATGTGTCATATCTGATTCATACTGTTTCTGAAATGTTTTGCGTCTGACACCTTTTGCTTAATTTAATGGTAAAAACTTTGCTCAAAATCCTATTGTACACAATCAGATACACCTGATAACAGGGGGCAGAAGACTACACAAAAAATAATCTTGACTTATCGCATAATAATAAATTACTAATATTACAAATGTATTTCTGTTTTTTCTTTTTACATATTTTGTTAAAAGGCCAAATACAGACTTCAAAACAAAAAAAAGTAATTTTCTGTTTTGATTTATTCTTGGATCAGGCTTTAAAGGGTTAAAACGTTAATGAGTCATGTGACTGTCCCTTTGTCCCTCTTCTTTCATTACTTGGTTTGATAAAGGTGTTTCTCCCCATGGAAATGCTGTTAAACTGTTTATTTAGCTTTTGTCTTGGAATAAAGTTGCGGGGGTAATGCACCCCCCAACTTTGCATTCCACCAGGCAAGCTCAAACTTTTTTTTCTTTTTTACAGGAGCTAGATGTAATTTGCATAATCAATTCTGTTTTCAGTAGGAACTTTGAGCAGAGTGCAAGAGGATGTTTTTAGTTTTGAGATTCAATTTTTGAAAATATAGATTTTTTTAAAACTCACAAGGGACCTTTTTAGGTAATTAAAGAGAAACTAAAAGTGTGCCAGAACATTTAACTCACATTTAACTCAACAGAACAGTCAATCACCTATCTAACAAATAGTTTTGTACTATTTTGAATCTGTCATTGTTAAAGAGGATCTCGTTCTAAAAAAAAGTCTCATATGACACAAAAAGGTAACTTAAGTCTAAAAGACAGAAGGGGCCAGAACCACATAGTGGACTCAGTGATGATTAATAATTCATTTTCCATTGTGTGCACAAACAGTGCAAACAACAGGATAAACTCTGCAATAATTCGTGATTAAAAGCAGTCATATTGGGCTAAAACATCACTGTATTAGGTTTAGAGAACAGAGGTCAAAGGGCAGAACAGCTATGTGGTAGTTACCAACCACAGCCTCAGAGCAACAGGGTTCCTGGTTCGAATCCTGACTTACTTACTTACTTACTTACTTACTTACTTACTTACTTACTTACTCACTTACTCACTTACTCACTTACTCACTTACTTACTTACTTACTTACTTACTTACTTACTTACTTACTTACTTACTTACTTACTTACTTACTTACTTACTTACTTACTTACTTAATTGGTAAGAAAATGGTGTCTCTGAACCGGCTGTAAGAGAATGAGCATCCATAGTGGTTTGATCAGCAACTAGTTCAGATTAAACACCTATCAATCCCCATGGCAACTGACTCCCAAAAAAAGATATCATCAAGGTTTTGGTCACTGATGACAGTTTTATGCTTCATGGACAGCTATGCCCCAAAACACAAGAGTTTATACTCTATTCTGTCTATATAGACATATACTTCTGTTGTGTTATCTATTTATTCTGTATATCTTTTTGTGCAGCACTTTGTTTATTGAAATTGTGCTATATAAATAAAGTGGATTGGATTGGATATGTCTAACTTTAATATTTGTTCCATGGAGTGTCAGAATTTTTTCTTTTATTGTTTCCTCATATTGTACCAATGACTATTTTAGACAATTATTATAACTAAAAAAAAGAATATATTAGATTTTGAAACCATAACACAGCGTATTGTTTTCATACTGTGCCTCCTTGGATTAATTTAACGTGTCCAGGGTTTGCATTTCTAAGTATTTTGTATATAATTTAACTCTTTTATAATGTAGTTTATGATAAGGGTAACATTCTTGGAGAAAACTTGGTGTGAAATGACATTAAAATAGCATTAAATCCATTGTGAAAACACACGTTAGGGCAGCAAATTAACAGAATAATTATTATCTCATCACTGTTGCTTTCCCCCTCCCACTGTTTGTTAAAAACTGGAATCATCTCCGTGATATCTGGGGGTGTCTTCATCCTCTACCTGACTGCAGACTCCCCCGGAGGAGGATCTGGGAGTGCGAGTGGATTTGGGG